CCTAGCTCGGCCCTATTTCGAGTTGAATTCGAATCAAGTCGGTCGACGTTCGACGCAACATCGACGCATGAGTGGAGCGAGTGGCTTCAGGAAGGTCCCCAGAACGAGCATCTATTCGTTGGGGGTTTCTCCAGCCCCGTCTGTGACCAGGGCGGAGAAGTATCCCCCCTGTCCCCTCTGCATCCTCCTCCTCATCATCAGGGCATCACCATCACAATCACCATCACCATCACCATCATCTGTATCACAATCACCGCCACCATCACCACCACCACCGCCACCACCACCATCATCATCATCATCATCATCATCATCAGCAGCAGCAGCAGCACCAGCATCACCCTCATCATCATCCTCTTCCTCAGCACCATAATCACCATCACCATCACCATCACCATCACCACAACATTTAGTATCATCACCAACATCAGCAGCATCAGTAGTTTCAGCATCAGCATCATCAACATCATCATCTTCATCATCATCATCAGCATCATCTTCCTCAGCACCCTCATCATCATTGCCACCATCAAAAAGCCATCATCACCATCATCACCATCATCACCATCATCATCATCATCATCATCATCATCATCATCATCATCATCAGTAGCATTCGCATCGTCCGCATCATCGTAATCGTCATCGTCGTCGTCACCACCGTCATCAGCGCCACACCGGCTCCCTGCCAGGGGCAGCACCGCCCCGCGCAGAGCTGTCTGAAGCGTACGTTCGATCAAGCCCGCCATGTGCGGCCGCTGGAGCCCTGGGCCTGATGCGGGCACTCCCGATCCTGGCCCACAACGTGGGCAGCCTCCATCGAAGAAGACAAAACGCCATACACATATCGGAGGTTGATAGACCTCCTACCCTGACACGTCGATTAGTGAATTGGCCGTTTTCGATTCGCGCAAGGGCGTCGCGGCTGTTATTTTTGCGGGTCCAGGTCCGTCGAATTCGGTCCTTGGCCGTTTTCTCGAAAGGGTGGTTTACTAAAGGGAGGTTTGTCCAGCGCCGAACATAACTTTTTAGCGCTCCGCGCGGATCTCTTGGATCTGCGCTGGGCCCCCACGGCGGCGCCTCCAGCGCTGCCCCTGGCGCGCTCCGCGTGCCAGGGAGGGAGGGCCGGCGCAGGTCCAGGACATCTGCTCGGAGCGCCAACAGGTTGATGTTCTACGGCGTTTTGTTGTTCTTGTGCTTCTGCTCCAGCTTCTGCGCCTCCGAGAGTTGAGCCTGGCGTGCCTCAGCGTGGCGGCGTGAAGACTGAGGTGCGGGTCGCCGCCTTCCAGCGGCGTTCGCCCGAGGAGCCCCGCATCCAAGACGTACTCGTGAGGCGACACTGTACCACAGCAGAGTCCACTTTCCTTGGCAGCCTGGCGCGTGCACCAACACAAGCGCGGGTTACATCATCATCATCATCATCATCATCATCATCATCATCATCATCATCATCACCATCATCATCATCATCATCAGCAGCAGCAGCATCATCATCAGCACATCATCGTCATCATCATCATCAGCAGCATCATCATCATGGGCGAGCGTAGTCGTGTTTCCGCCATCTCGAACATCGAGGTACCCTAGGTCTCGTTGATTCGGACTCGCGCCAGTTCTGCCTCAGGATGATCGGTCTTTCTTCTCATTCGTGTCCGCATTCCGCCAAGGCCCGACCTGGATGGCGCAAACGATGCGCAATACATCGCCAATGGTTGGATAACAAACTTCGAGCTTGTGCATTTCGATGTGATCCATTGGCCATGACGGACGCCAATACGGCATATGCCTACGCAGACAGCACAGAATTCTAGATAGACGCGTTGGCCAATTTGGCGCGAGACACGAGAACGAGAACGGAAGACACCTGCACGACATCATGCTCGCGACATGAGCGCGCCCAATACTCATCGGAACGCCGGCCCCACTGACATCGAGCACCACGGCGCGACCACCTTCGACTTCATTTGGTTTTCCCTTGGCTTTGTTGGCTGACGCTTCGTGCCGCAGATGGTTGGCAACGGCACGGCTGCCATGAACTCAGGTACCTCGTTGGTCACATCCCGATCGTGGGTCGCCTCCTTCCTTGCCGTAATCATGGCCATACCGTTCGCAGCTGTTGGAGCTGGCACACTCTGCTACAATGTCTTCAGCAGGCGCGCGGTCGCGAGGCCTTCCTCAAATACCTTCGGCATGCAAGCGAGCAGCACCGGGTTCGTTTCAGTGAGGTGCGCGCGGGCCCGAACCCTGACCGATATACGAACCTCCTCGTCGCAGTGAGCAGGTAGGTCGCCATCACGCATGTCTCCCTGAGCCTGGACCGACCACCATGATATCGAAACAGGGTGCGTCGGCGACTCGGGCCTACTCGGCCTACTGAACGAAGTGGCAGTTGCCATACGCTCGGCCGGCTGAGCAGACGTACCGGTCGCAGCTTGCGACGAGTATAAAGCATTCTCAAAGGAGGCACCGAATGCGCGCCTTCGGAAACTACGCGCTCAGCAGGGCCCGGATTCGGAGCAACGAGTTTGATAATGGCTGGGCTCAACGACAATTTGCAGAAGGGTCTTCAGCTGCACGACGGCGAGCACATCGTGGCAAACGTGTGCGCGGGGGGGGGGAGATCCGTCGCTTCCCCCATGCCAACCGTCACGACCTGAATGGTGCTATCCCTGCCAGGATGAGAAGGAGATTTTCTAGCAGACGAACTACCGGACTGACATATTACAGGACATTGTTGTGGCCCACAGACCCAACGAGGCGATTACTGTGCCCCCCGGTCCAAAAAGGCCCAGCGCGACTATAAGCACCAAGGACTTATTCATTGGATACGGCAGTTGTTTCATCATCCACATGTTATGGAGGCTGAAACGATGCTGATTATCACCATGCGGGAGACTCCCTGCCGAGATCGTTGTTGATATGAGTGGCCCGTGTATTCTGAGCCAGCCAGGGGCCTGGATTGCTGGGCTAGTACTTTCTGCAGCATTTGATCCGATGGATCTCGATCACCATCCTGGCCCAGCCAAACGTAGGTTCCCACTGGAGGAGTACACCGAGGCCCAAACGCCCCCTCAATTGTTTCTGCCCTTGGTGAGGGAACCCCTGTCGCAGGCTATCAAGCCGCCCTCTCAAGCACCCTCAACGGGCTTACGGCGGCGTAAGCAAGAGACGCCGAGAGGCGATGATGTGTGTATCCAGGGTCGTGGCATGCTGGGTTCGCGCATGCAACTTGACCCCCGCACCCAAATCACACGATCTGCCCACAGCATGGCTTGCCACGCGCGCGGCGGGTGGGGGCATCCGTGCCGCGGCTCGCTTGCTGTCTTAGTGGGCCTTCGGGGCACCAGCGTACGGCGGGGGCGTTGGATAAGGAATGTCCTCCGAGGGGCCAGACCCTGGCGCATTCCTTCCTGCGTCGAGGCGGTGTGGGCGGCCCGCGTCTTGCCTCCCATCGGTCGCGAGACCCTGGGCTCCTTATCCAAGGGTTCCTTATCAAAGAACTCCGCCGTAGCTTTCGTGGTTGCCCGAGTGCTGCAGACGCGTGGGCGCGTCCTGGGCTGGTCTCGTCAGGGTCTTGGGCTGTCTCGGGCCCGTCTTGGGGAACTCTGGGGGTTGTGCGGCAGATCGTGTTCGAAAAGAGTGTGGTTCAGCGCTCTTGGCATCTCCGTCGGGGGCCTCGTGGATGCACCTTGAGTCCCTTTTCGGAGGCCTGTTGGGAGCCAGTTGTGCCTTTGGAGGTAACCGCGCAGTCTGTGGGTTACACGTCTTGACTCCCGCAACGCAGCCATGTTGGATCACGCCGCTCTGGACCGCAGTTTTTAGAGCGCTTCCCCAGTTGTTGCCAGGTGGCGGCACTCTCCGAGTGTATACGAACCATTGGGGCAACGGAGCACAGTTTGGGAGATCCGCGCGGATATCTTGGATCCGCGCTGGACCCATTTCCCTTGCGCGCGATGCGCGCCAGGGGCGGCGCCAGAGGCGCTGCCAGGGGGGCCCGAGCGCCGATCCAAGAATTCCGCGCAGAACTCCGAAAGCTGGTGTTTGTGCCTCCATTCGTTCCTCTTATCATGTTGGAGAGGATTCCCTCCAGCTGTCTCGTCGAGGCCCTCTCGTACATCTCGCACGAGTCCAGGCGCCTGTCCTGGTTCCGCTCGCTCTGCCCCGGCGTGCGAGCCGCGCTCGGCGAGGACAGCTCGTGGAGGCACTTGTGCCAGCAGCACTGGTACGTGACCGAGGAGCGGCTGCGGGAGTGGCCGGCGCTGTCCCCGCAGGGGCTGTACCCGAAGAAGAAACGCTTGCACAGACATAAACCTTCGACGATCTGGGCGGATTTCTCGGATCGGCGTTGGGGCCCCCCTGGCGGCGCCTCGGGCGCCGCCCCTGGCGCGCTCAGCGGGCCAGTGAGGGGGGCTCAGCGCAGCTCCCAGAAACCCGCGCGGACAGTCAAGAGTGTGAGTTGGTCCAGGTTTTTCTTCTTCTACGTACCGCGCCCTGGAGCGGTGGACGCCCCTGGAGGGCTTCTACGTGCTGGCGCCCGCGTTCCCCTGGGGCCTGCTGGTGCTGGTGCGCCTCTCGGAGGGCTGCGTGCTGGCCGACGCGCTGCGCTTCCTGCCGCGCCCGCTGGCCCAGAGCCCCGGGGCCGCGGCCGCGGCGGCGGAGCCCGGCGGCGACGGCGACGCCTTCGCGGAGGTCCGCGTGCCCCTCTTCCGCGTCAGCCTGGGCGAAGACGCCCAGGGCCGCCCGTCGAGCGAGGTGCAGTCCCCCTGGTGGCCCGGCGCCCGCTCGGCCTCGGTACCCTCGGGCCTCCCAATAGGAGGGGCCCGAGCAGGTGGGGCCGGAGGACAGCGCCGCAGCGCCGAGGCGCCGCCGCTGTGCCTCGACGTGGAGCCCGCTTGGCTCCGCGCCGGCGCCGGCGGCGCCGAGGCGTCGCCGATGCAGCGGCGGCGCGGCGCGGATCCTCCGACCCCATCTGCTCGGACCCCACCTGGGGAGGCCTCCAGGTCTCGGACCTGGCCCCGGAGGACCTCTGCGCGGGCACCCGGGTCGCCGCGGACCTCTGGGACGACCGGCTGGGCCTCGTCCAGCAGGGCCTCCTGGCCACCGCCCGTGCGCTGCGCGTGCGCGCGGAGGAGGCCGAGCCGGCCACGGGGGGCGGCGAGGGCGGCGTGCCGATCTGCTCGGGCAGGCGCCAGGGGCAACGTTTACAGTGGGAACCCATGCCAAGAAACGCCCTGCTTGCCTCCAGGGTGCCCGGGGTTTCTTGGGATTCGACGATTCTGCGCGATGGACAGCTTGGCGTGCCCACACCAACACTCAAGGGGCACGCTCTGGGGTCTCAGGGTGGGGCTCCTAGTGTAGGCTGGGACAGGTTTGGGGTGGGTCGCATGGACCCCCAATCGCCCATTCATGGCCGAGATGCGCCCAGGAGCCCAACCCCGCCCAGGACAGAGCGGAGTCGCTGTCGCGGGCCCATCGCCGATCCAACGGCGATGCAGCGCCGATTCCAGGTCGATGCTTCCCCCCGCTTGAGCTGGTCCCTCTTGTCGTTCCCCCTCATTCCTAATCCTCGTCTCGGCTCGCCAGTCGCGCAATCGCACATCGTTCGGCGATGCATCGACGATTGCAGCCCGATTTCCCCACTTCCCTGGGCTGGTCCCTGCTCCCCAGCGCTGCCCAGCTGCCTAGCTGCCCTGCTGCGCCCGTGATGGAGCTCGGGGAACAAACAATGACACACACGCACACATAAACATTCGGAGGTCCACGCGAATTCCTCGGATCGGCGCTGGAGCCCGCTGGCGGCGCCTCGGGCGTCGCCCCAGGCGCGCTCCGCGCGCCACGACGGGGGGCCCAGCGCAGATCTAAAAAATCCGTGCTGGCCGTCGAACGTTTATGTTTATAACAGTTGCTTTCGCTGTTTTCGTCCACTGAGAAAGTCGGCGGCGAGCCCATGGGGGCATTGAGAATCGGGCCGGGCGAAAGGGGGGGATTGGGAAAGGGGGGGTTACGAAATTTGCTGCATGCAGCTGGTTTGGGCCCCACGGAGGGCCCACTTCCTCGATACATAGCCGCCTCAGGCGCTGGGAGGCGCCGGGAAAATCAGCTACGTGAGCTGATTCTCAACCCCCCCCTATCCCCCCCTTTCGCTATCCCCCGCCCGACCCGAGAGAAAGGGGCAGGCCTGCTCAGAAGGCGGCGGGGACTCTGAGAAGCCATCCGGCCTTCTGAGAAGCTGTCCGTGTCTTCGGAGACGGCTTAGAGCACCTCTCAGACGGCCCGCCCCCTCTGACTCCTCTCCACTCCTCCCCCTCCTCCCCCTCCTCCTCCTCCTTCCCCTCCTCCTCCTCCTCCTCCTCCCCCTCCTCCTCCTCCTCCTGCTCCTCCTCCTCCTCCTCCTCCTCCTCCTCCTCCTCCTCCTCCCTGGACTCGCCGCCGAGCATAGGCACTGGGAGGTGGGCGAGCTCTGCACCTGCGAGGCGGACCTGGTGGGCCGCACCTCCGCGATGCTGCTGGACATGCTGGGCGAGGCGCGGGTGCCCTGCGACCTGGCGCTCGTCCGCAGCCCCGAGCAGCTCGCGGCGAGCAGCATCGTCTGGCTCACCCCTCGTCTCCTCATCCCTCGTCCTCTTCCTCCTCCTCCTCCTCCTCCTCCTCCTCCGCATCCTCCTCCTCCTCCTCCTCCTCCGCCTCCTCCTCCTCCTCCTCCTCCTCCTCCTCCTCCTCCTCCCCCTCCTCCTTCTCCTCTTTCTGGGGCCACGGCCTTGGGCCACGGTACCCCTACTCTGGGCTTCTCAATGTGCGTGGGGGGTACCCCCCCCGACGGGGGGCAACCTCGCCTCGTCGTCGCGCTGCGACGGGGGTCGGAGCGCCTGCGGCGCGCGGTGGCTGCCCGCCACGGGGGTCGATGTGGAGCTGTCGGCGGGGGTGGCGCCTCCCCCCCGACGCTTATTAAGAAGCTCGGAGTAAGCATCTCAGATGAGCGACCCAGAGAAACGGACTCGTCTTCGCTAGAATTGACGCGCAAGCTGCCCGCGCAAGGTCGCGCGTGAGCGCCTTCCTTTCCAATATGGCGCGCCACGCTTGCGGCCCGCGTAAGGTGCGGCGTAAGGTCGCCATGCCATCTCGCGTACGAGCCGTTCCTTTTCGTCGCCCGGATGGGGTCCGAGCAGGTGGGGTCGGAGGGTCGCTCCGCAGCGTCGATGCATCGCCGACGCGGCTCGATGTGGAGCCCGATGTTCGCCACGGCACCTCACCCCGCCCTTCTGGATGGGGAGCCCCCGGGCGCTTCTAAGAAGCACCCTGCCTTCTCAGAGGCCCCCCCTTTGGCGGCTCGGAGGGCCGCCCGCCCGTCGCGCCACTCGCTCGTGCGCGCCGCCGCCGAGGGCAGCAAGAGGGCGACGTCGACCGCTCGGTAGTCCACGAGGTTCTCGGATGTGCTCGTCGGCTACCAAGGGTCCTCCTGCTCCGGGTGAAGTCGGGCCTGTCCCTCTGCAGGAGGAAGGTCCAGAAGGTTAGTCAAGCCATAGCCTGGGGACGATGTTTTTTTAGTGTTTTGTTTACCATTTTTGGATTACCTCTGGGCTATGCTTCGTTTCTCTTCCAAAGTTCCCCTGTAGGGGGACACTCAGGAGGGGAAAAAACACACAGACACAATTAATCTGCGATTCCCCAGAAAATATGGGAAAATATGGGAAGTGGGGGGGAAGACAAAAACCCAGAAAATATGGGAAACTATGGGGCATCGTTTTATTTGTGTGTATTTATTTGTGTGTTTGTGGGCCCATTCAGACACGCCCGACCTAAGACTCGGGGTGCGCTCCAGCAGCTGCGCCTCGCCGACGGCGCTCCCAAGGGGTGCCCGCATCCGTCCCCGGGATCGGCCGCCGGCGGCCAGTGTTTTTTGGCAAGGGCGCCCTCGAGGGCGCGAAGTCGTTCGCGCTTCGCGCTTCGCGGTTCGGCTCCGGTTCCTCGTCCTCCTCTCCTCCCCTCCTCTCTCTCCTCTCTCCTCTTCGCCCTCCTCGCTTCGCGGTTCCTCGTCCTCCTCTCCTCCCCTGGGAGGCGGCGCGAGAGCGCGAAGTGATTCGCACTTCACGCTTCGCGCAGCGCGGAGCGCGGGATGGGGAGCCCTTGTGTATGCCGGGAACGCCTCCGGGCGTCGGAGGCGTCGGAGACCACCAGCCCCACAGGGCCGTGGCCGCCCCGACACGTGCGTGCGCAGCACGCACCGTGTTCAAAGCTCAGGGGAGGAAAAGGTACCCATACCTCTGCCCTCCCCTTGTTGTCCCGTTTTGGGGCCTCTTGGGTCTCCGTCGTCGCCACTGCTGGGTTCGCGTCGAACTCCTGGTCAGAACGCGCTCCAGGAGAGGTCCGGGGAGTAGCGGTCTGGGTACCTTTTGGTTTCCCCACGCTGCGTTTTGGCTCGGCGCGTGTTTGGGCGCACGTGCTTCCGACGGCTTTGGCGACAGACCCACGCCTTCGATCTCTGTGTTGAGCTCCGTGCCAGCACGCTGCGGGGTGCGTGTTGCGTTCGGGGCGGCTGAGCCACCGTGCCATGGCATCTCGGGCCCCCCCAGCTCCTTCTCCTATGTGGGGATAGCCCAGCGAAGACCGCAGGAACTTGGAGCCGGATGGGGGTCTGAGGCGGCCCAGCGCCTGTTCTGGCGAGCAGAAAGGGAGGGGCGAGGTTCGAGGTGCTTGGCTTCGGCCTGCAGGGGCCGCTTGCGGGCCCCAGGACCGTCAAGAACGGATCTGGGGTGAAACCCACCCGGTGGACCCCCCGGGAGGAGTTCAGGAACCGCTTTTTTGAGCGGATCTGCCCTCGTCCTCTCTTCTTCGCGGATTCTCTCGGGGCCCCTCCAGTTCAGACGCCCTGGCCGCCTCCAACGCATCCTCATCCCTACCCTGGGTTTCTCAATAAGCGTGGGTGCCCGCGACTGAGGCCCCCACGACGCTTATTACGAAATTCGGAGTACAGTCGGGGCGCTGAACAAGGAGCCCTTTTCGTTGGGGAGGGGCTCCGTGTTCCTTAATTGTTTCGCAGTTTGCCACGGGTTTTCCCGAGGTTGTAGATGTGAGATCGAGGTTGAACTTCTGGAAAAAGGGGCCTCGTTTCTTATTTAGGGTTTCTCAGGTCAACGCCCCGACTGTACTGGGCCACGGCACCTCAGCCCCACCAGCCCCCCCTCCTGGGTGGGGGTGGTGCCCCGCGAAGCCCGCAGGAGCAGGCGTGCACCCCCACCTCTGGGGGGGCGAGTCGGCAACTGGGGCCCAGGCCACACCACTGGGGTTACATCGGGCCTGTCGCTCTACAGGAGGAACATTCAAAAATAGTCAAAAATACTAGGTGTACGATGTTTTGAGCATTTTTGGTTTATGGTTCTGATTCGGATTCTGATTATTATGATTATGATTATTATTATTCGTATGTTTGTTATTGTTATTATATCCATTATTATTATTATTAGTAGTATTAGTATTATTATTATTAGTCTTATTATTATTGTTATTATTATTGCTATTTTCAGTACTACTATTATTATTATTATCAGTAGTAGTAGTAGTATTATTAGTAGTAGTATTATTATTTTTTATCTTTAGTAGCAGTAGTAGTAGTAGTAGTAGTCGTCGTCGTCGTCGTCGTCGTCGTCGTCGTCGTCGTCGTCGTCGTCGTCGTCGTCGTCGCATTAGACTATCTGGCATTTTTCGTGCAGGACCCGCCTGTAGGACGGCACGCCCGACCTCACATCTGGGAATGTAGAGAGAGATCGGTCAGCCTACGGTAGGGTCGTGTCGTGTCGACCAGCGGCGACCCCAGCGCGGGCGTTCAAGGTTGAACGCCGGCGGCGACCCAGAATCGATCGATGTTGAACGATCGGACGTTGCGGAGATGGCCGATCGTTCAAGGTTGAACGATCCAGCGCGGTGTCAGAAACCAACGCCGGGGTCGACACGACGCGAACCTGCCGTATGCTCAGGCGAGGGACCCGGACCTGCCGCGCATCCGCCCCGGCCTGTACGTCGGCGACTACGGGCACACCATTTCGGGCGCCGCCACGGGTGCCCGCCCCTGGCCCGAGATGCTCCCAGGGTTCCAAGGGACGCACGGATGGCCTCCTCCTCCTCCTCCTCCTTCCCCCCTCCTCCTCCTCCTCCTCCTCCTCCTCCTCCTCCGCCTCCTCCTCCTCCTCCTCCTCCGCCTCCTCCTCCTCCTCCTCCTCCCTCCCCAGGCGCAGAGGGCCACCATGGCTTCAACATTGCGCGACAAGCTGGGGGCACCGATCGGGGAACAAGATCATGACTCACACAGGCTTCCGGAGGCCCACGCGGATTGCTTGGATCGGCGCTGGAGCCCCCTGGCGGCGCCTCGGGCGCCAGCCCTGGCGCGTTCCGCGCGCCAGGGCGGGGGGCGATGTTTTGGGTCAGGGCCACCCCTGGCAACACCCGACCATGTACGGCCAGTTCCGCACCGAGGTCCTGCCCTTCCCCTCGCGATGCGATGTTTTGCTGCGACTGGCAAGGCATTTTTGCCTCGCCATGCTCGCTTGTCTGTGTCTCGCGCGTGTGGCATAGCCCCCCCTGAGGGGCAGCGGATCTATCTCGCACTGGTTTTCCTGGCTGCTCTCGTTGAGAGTCCCGCACCGAGGTCCTGCTGCTGGAGTACGTGGAGCTCGCCGGCGCGCAGCTGCAGGCCGAGCTGCAGGCGCCCGCCGCGGTCTTCGGGCGGCCCGAGGGCGGCGACGCGCCGCAGGAGCTCGGGCGCCTCCCTCGCGGTGCCGCCGCCGCCTGGACCTTCGTGCGGGGCACGAAGCAGTGCGGCGCCTAGCTGCTCAGATACGCCCTTGTGATGGATCTCGGGGAACAGACCATAGCATACACATAGATTTTCGGAGGTCCGCGCGGATTTCTTGGATCTGCGCCAGGCCCCCGTTCCTGGCGCGCAAGAAGCGCCGCCAGGGGCGCGCCAGAAGCGCCGCCAGGGGGCTCCAGCGCCGATCCGAGAAGTCCGCGCGGATCTCCGAACAATTTTTCCCGAAGCAGTGCTTGCACTTGGGGCATCTCATTGACTTTCTAAAGAACTGGTTGGCCCTGGTCGTCGGTCTGGCAGCCATGTAGTCGCCGTCGCCGCCCTGTCGCTGCCCCGTCGCCGGCCATCGTCCGGGCCTGTGCGTCGGTCTGGCGGCTGTGTAGTCGTCGTCGCCGCCTCGTTTGGACGCCGTCTGGGCCTGTGCATCAGTCTGGCGGCTGTGTAGTCGCCGTCGCCGCCCCGTCGCCGCCTCGGTGCCGTCCGTCGTCTGGGCCTGACTTGCGGTCGGGTGGTCAATGTTGTCGCCATCGGCGCCCCGTCACGTCGCCGCAGCCCTGTCGCGCCCCTTCCCCCTCGTTGCCACCCAGTCGTCCAGACTCGATTACAACCATGCCGATTGCAATCGAATCGATTGGATTTATCATCATCGTGTCTGCTGTTGTCGACGTCGCCATGATACCGCCCCCGCCCGAGTCATCGACTCGTATAGAAGTGCCCGCGCGTCAGTGCGACCTGCGAGACGCGCTGGGACGTCCCCAACGGCCAGCGCCACCGCGGCCGCGTCGGTCGCGCCAGACTAGCTGGCCGCTTTGCGCGCGAGCCTGCGCGCGCTAGCGCGGCCGCACCGAGGCGCCAGCCAGCGCCAAGCAGTCATCTCAATCGCCGCCGGATTGGCTCTTCAAACTAATTTACGGGTTGGTGGGCCAGATGATTGCGCGAGCAGTGAAGTTGACAATTTCACGTTTGGCAGGGTGAATCGCATTGCGTAGTCTGCAACGCATACGTTGCAACACGCCTATACCGCACCGTTTAACTTGCACCGCGAATTTTGCATTGCAAAGATTGCGCGGGATAGATGACACTTCGTGCGTCGCACTGCATAATATTGCTCTACGTAGGTTTTCTTTTCTAACCGACAAATCGGATGTACCCCCACTCCTCCCAGAAATATCCGCTCGCTCATATCATTCGGCGTCGTGGTTCATCTTCCAATTGGAATCATACCATCCCAACCAGACTGGTACCGATTGGCACCATCTTCCCTTTGCAGCAAAGCGTATGCACGCGACTTCGACTAACACATATCGTCAACTTCCGAACTTCCTTCGCAACAGATGTGTCAAGGTCCACAAAAGCTCGCGTCGTCGTGCGCCCATGCTGTAGGGATGTTGAAATCGAGTGTACCGCACACATATATGCAAAGGCTTGATTTCGCAACGTGGGTTCTCAAGAAAGGTATGCTCGCACGCTCACATTGTTCACATGCATTCAAGAAAGCTTCTTTAGCATTTGTTCACATGCAGCCAAGCGGGCTTCTCGTGCACGCGTCGAACCCATTCGAACGCCCTTGCGTGCGTGTTGGGGGAGGGGGGCACGACCCGTGTCATAGAAAACATGCGGGCCACCCCCTCCGCGTCGGCCGCGCCGCGCGTCGTCTATCAAACCGTCGGCGCCGTGAGCACCATCATCGTCATCGGCG